TGTAAACTGAGTAAGTTGCAGGACAAGTTGGAGTAATTTTAAAATTCTTTATAGTGACCTTCCTTGCACCCTGCAACTAACAATGTTACCTGGTACTTTATTTCTGGGGTTATCTGGTTATCTGTGAATATGAAATTTAAAAAAACCAATTACCACAATAATTTAAAAATAGCTTTGCCTTGAATGAAAGTATGAGGATTTCACAACACAGGACCCCAAGGCTTGCTTCTACCAGATATTGGCCCTAAAAATCGCAATCTTGCTCTTTTTCTTTTAACAGTCCTTCCTTTAAACATTAGAGTGTAGATGCTTTTTTGGTATCCACTCAAAAGCACTTACTACTTTACACTGTGGCTTACACACAAAGATGACTAGGAAACATCTTCTTATTTCAACGGTAGCATGACTAGCAGCAATTTCCAAACATGAGAGATGTGTGCCCTCAGGAATGCATGAAGCCTTTCTGAACAGCCCTTAGGCATGAACAGTGTGCAGAATGTGTGTTCAGGCCTTCACATTGCCCTGCCTGTAACGGGCCAGCGGGGCAGTCAAGCCAAACCTCTACTTCTTCAGCCTTGTACAGCCACCCTTTTCCGCTTTGCAGAAGACAGCCCACTTAGTTATTGTGAGTGACATTCACATATTGCCTGAGGTATAAAAACACCAAATGAACCATCAGAAATATTCAAAGCTGTCTCCTATAATTGAGACCCCACCCCCATTGGTCTCCGTAAATGACTGTCAATAATTTTGATTATTCAGACTAATTTTTTTCCAGATTTGCAATACTCCAGTGTTTTTTAAAGGCCAGTTAGTTACTAATAACAATTACATGATAAACTCAATCTCAAAAATTATTTAACTCTTGTAGGTCCAAATTAGGGAAATCTTTTAAATTAGAACTTCAGCTTATAGGCCTATTCTTTGTTGCAGAGAAATATATAACGCTATAATAAAAGACTTCACAGATATAAATATATGGCATTAAACTAAAATTCTAGGTGCTAAGGAGATGGCCCAGTGGGTAAGAGTACTTGCTGTGTGAACATAACAACCTGAGTTTGAATTCCTAGAATGCATGTGAAAAGACAGTTGTGGCAAAACGTATCTATAACCCTAGCACTGGGGTAGGGAGGAGGTCGAGATGGGAGGCTCTTGAGGGCTTGCTGACGACCAGCTCCAGGTTCAGAGAGACAGCCTCAGTGGAATAAGACAGAGAGCAATAAAGGTGGACATCACTGTCCTTCTCTGGCTTCTGCATGGGTGCAAGCATGGGCAGACACACACACACACACACACACACACACACAGGCAATACACCACACACACATAAAAATCAGTAAATAAATAATAATATGAGGAATGGGATGAAAACAAAAGCTCTCCAGGGCTGATAGTGTAGCTCAGAAGTAGAACATATGCCTAGGTTGCCATGTGGGAGGTCCTGAGTTCTAGTCCTATAATCAAGGAAGGAAAGAAAATAGCAATTACAGGGATACATCTTTTAATTTGAAATTTCTGACTTAAGTAATGCATTATTCATGCGCTTTTGTCAAGGAGAAATGAACGGAGAATTAAAAGTAAATGGCATTTAGATTCTCTGAATACATTTAATATGCAAAGACATGATGTTAAAATGCCAATATTTACAAATAAGCAAGACCTAACTGAATGACTTTTACATCTCTAGACATCAATTCTGAAAAGCAAGGGCAAAATTAAGTCTAACTGTAGGTATTTGTGAGTTTATAGAGTTCTGGCTTCTGGGTGCATAGATGCCGCAACACACAGGAAGCATATGCATGATCCAGTATTAATACTGGCAGGTTGACTTGAAGATGCTCCTTAGCCACTCACTAAGCAGGTGCCAGCCTCACACCCAGGGTGGGGAACTGAGTGTCCATTATACCTGAGTTAAGGGCATCCGAGGGCTAAGTGGGGTTAAATAAGGTTAAATAAAGTGCTTGGCCCAAAGGTGTGCGCCCTCTCGTCGCTGCCCTCCACTTCTTACTCCCTTGAAGGCGGGGCGTGGCCCTGGTTCCAACACCGCCCTGACCAAACTCTTGCTTGTGTAAGACTCTTCCCCCATGAGTCCTTTTGCAATCCCAAACACCAGAGTCTTTCATGAGTGCGCTCCCAAGCTGCTCAGTGTCCTCTCGTTTCCTATCCAAATATACTTTCACCGGCAAACTTCCCAAGAATCCACAGATTCTGTCTGCAGGAAGATCAGTAATGAAGACATGAAGTCAGGCTGGCATAGCAAACAGTGCCTAAGGCCATCGCCCTGACACTTTCATTCCAATCAACAGAAACGTAGTGCCATTTGTCATTAGGTCTTGTTACAATTTTTGGCCCCTTGAACAACTCATGTGAGGTAGCTCGTGTCTATCTGCCTGAATGAGTTTGTCAAGTGAAGTCATGAGCAACTGAATTAAATGTCACTGCCGGACGGAACACCTGTTACATCACGCTAACCTATCACCCTCTATGCTCATAAATCTTCACACTCAGGACAAATTAGTATAGCACATGACTTCTAACAAACATTCTCTTGTGTTGAGTGTGACTCATGCCCGAAAGTAAATAACAGAGTAGTGGATGAAAGCAATAAAGTTTCATCACTGGTTCAAACATGGTCAAGTGGTAAATAAAAATAATGACTGCTTGGCAAGAGAAAGGCAAATGCGGTATAACAGTCTCTCCGAGGATGGGTTTAAGGCATCGCCTCAAGATGCTCATCACAACAGAGTCCTAGGGAGATTTAAGAAGCAAGAAGAGATGTCGTTTTAGGGGACCCTGGATTTTGTAACTCCTTTCATTCTATTAAAAAAAAAAAAAAAAAAAAAAAAGTTAATCCCAGACAGAGGCAAGTGGATCTCTGTGAGTTCAAGGTCAGCTTGGTCCACAGAATGAATTCCAGGACACCAGAGCTGTTACACAGAGAAACACTGTCTTGAAAAGCAAAAACAAAACAAAAAAATGTAGAGGATTGTATGAGTAGCTTTGACACAGAGAGATCATTGCAAACAGACAGTTTATACTCTCAACCCAGCTTCCCTTTAGTGTCTATGTTAGGGGCCTGGTTAGTTTTGTTGTTGTTTTGGTTTGCTTTTTGTTTAGGGGATGCTTTTGGAGGTGTTATTTGTTTTTGTTTGTTTGTTTGTTGTTTGTTTGTTTGTTTGTTTTTAGCAAGTTATTTGGGGAGAGGAAACTCAGTTGAGGAAATGCCTCCATCAGCTTGACCTATAGGCAAGTCTGTAGGGCCTTTTCAGGATAAATGATTGATATGGAAGGGCCCAGCTCACTGGGGACAGTGCCACCCTGGACAAGTGGTCCTAAGTGGGCTAAGAAAGTCAGCTGAGCAAGCCATTGGGAGCAAGCTAAAGAGCAGTGTTCTTCCTCGGCCCCTCTCCAGTTCCTGCCTCCAGGTTCTTGTTTTGACCTCCCTCCTGGTCTTTATGGCAGTAAGGGGAAGCAAACTATGACAATTGTTTTCCTTACTTCTGTCCCTTCATATTTTTTTTTGAACTCTGATAAAATACACAGTATAAAGTTTACCCTCTCAACCATTTTGAAGGATGTGATTCAGTGGTATTAAGTACAGTTATAATGTTATGCAGCCACATCACCCTGTATCACTAGATCATCTTGCAAAGCTCTAAATCCACTAAGCACAAGTTCCCCATCCTCCTGTCCCTGTCCCTCCCAGCCCTGGAAACCACTTCACTTTCTGCCTCTACAGCTGTCACTGCATGAAGTCCCTCGAGTAAATGGAATAGAACAGTTTTCTTTCACTTTTAAAGGGGTTATATTTTATTATTTTTGTAATTTTAAAATTACTCTTAAAATACTACAGAGGCCAGGCTTGGTGGTACATACCTATAATCTCAGAACTCAGGAGGCGGGGCCAGGATGATGGATAGCAAGGAAGAAGCTAAACAGGATATTCCCCAGAAATGAAATTGTCAAGGTAACTGAACAAGGAAGCAACTATAGTCAATGATTTCATTTCACAGACTTCACTGAATGTCAGTATTCTGGGAGCACAAGGTGTCTCCTTAAAAATGATACTTAAACTTTAGTGCACATTTTTAAAAAAATGACACTAGGGGCTACAGAGATGGCTGAGCAGGTAAGAGCTCATACTGCTCTTTAGAGGACACAACTTGGGTTCCTAGCACTCAAGTCCAATGGCTTACAACAATCTGTAACTCTAGCTCCAGCCCTCTTCTGACCTCCAAGGGTACCTGAACTCATGTGCATATATGTGTAATTAAAAATAAAATCATTTTTAAAAAATAAATACTGATGGGTGGTAGCAGTGCACACCTTTAGTCCCAGCACTTGGGAGGCAGAAGCAGGCAGGTCTCTGTGAGTTCAAGGCCAGCCTGGTGTACAGAGCATGTTCCAGGACAGGCTCCAAAGCTACACAGAGAAACCCTGTCTCAAAAAACCAAAAGAGAGAGAACGGAGGGAGGGAGGGGGAGGGAGGGAGGGAGGAAGGAAGGAAGGAAGGACAATATTGAGTGGGACTTAGAATTCTAAATGTGCTGCCAATGGCCATGGGAATCTGGGTATAGAAAGTTCTTATCATTTATGATCAACATGGAAAATTCGACCTCTGCTCAGTTTGTTCAGACAGTCCCGGAAGATATGGTGACTGTAGTGTCCTGATGTCATTGCTACCTGTTTTAACTGTGTCACTTTATTCTTCTACATGTAGGGTCACTTAAGTAAGCTGTGGGAATCAGGGACAGGGGTTCATGTTATTTGGAACAGAATTAGTCAGCCTAGACTCAGGGCCCCCAAAGGTCTGTACATTCCCAACCATCACTGCAGCCTGAGGGCAGAGCCATCGCCCTCATACTTGGGTTTTCTTTTCTGGTCGGACTCTGGCTGGAAAGAAAATCCTGGCTAGCCCCAAGGTGTGTTCAGCTGTGAATGATCATTATCTAGCTCTGGTCTCCTTTATAGCTTTTGTTTTCTTTCTTTCTTTCTAGAATATGTCTGTACTTGAGAATCACCACTGGCGATCTACAATTGGCATGCTTCGGGAGTCAAGGCTCCTTGCTCACTTGCCAAAGGAAATGACGTAAGTGCTGTCGAGATGAAACAGACTGATGTGCACACAGTAAAGATAAGTCACGTTCTCCAGGGCAGCTGGGGACCCCTGTGTCAGTAGCAGGGAGCCAGCTGCTGGTTGCCTGCTCTCCCTTGATTGTCCAGCAAGAGATTCAGTGTCAGGTACCACAACCCAGAAACCAGAATGTCTCTGTGCACTTTGGAAGGGTCTCAGATGGCCTGTGACCTACAGTTGGGGAAAGGGTAACATACAGCTCTCTGCTTTCACACTCCAGCTACAAGGCTCTGCACTGCCAAATTCCTGTCCCTTATGTCAGCAAACCATACTCCCGTTTAGATACAACGAATAAATATTTGTCAAGAAAGAACATAGGAATTCGAAAGCTAGATTAAGGGCCGGTCCAGTAACATGTGCTTGGTCTTTGCCAATGTTGGGAGAAAGTAGGAGTGAGAAATAATTTGTTGTGTGTAGCTCATGCCTAAATATCCAGCAGCCTGAAAGCTGAGGCGGGAAGACCATTGTAGCCTGAGCTAAAAAGAAAAACTCCACTCCCAAAGAACAAACAAATCAAACAAAACAAATTCAACAATGGATCCGTTCATTGTTTTTGTCTTTTTAATTTTTTCCCAAGACAGGGTTTGCCTGTGTGGTCTTGGCTGTCCTGGAACTCACTCTGTAGATGTGGCTGGCCTTGAATTCAGGGATCCTCCTGCCTCTGATTCCCAAGAGCTGGAGTTAAAGATGTGCACCACCATACCCAGCTTTTGCACTGTAAGCAGAAAATATTAATTTTCATAGTCTACTGTTTATCAGGACCGAATCTTAATTTTCCTTGTGGCCCCAACTTAATCAATACACTGTTTTAGAAAACCACCACAAATTCTGGTTTCTTTCATGAAAACATGGAGGACCCAAGGGAGTTAGGTGAGTGGCAAACACTGATCATTATGAGTGTCTTTAGAACATGTGGGAACTTGAGGTCCAAGTCAGAGTGGCATGTGTGCCATAGGACTGGTGTAACAGACTTTCTCGGCCACCAGCCACCAAATCACAGCACAGAGACTTATTATTATTTATGAATGCTCAGCCTTATCTTATGCTTGCCCCACCAGCTCTTATAATGTACTTTAACCTGTTTCTCTTCATCTACGTTTTGCCTCGGGGCTTTTACCTTTCTTTCATTCTGTACTTTTTACTTTTCCTGTTTCTCCCATGTCTGGCTGGCTCCAGGCATCTCCCTCTTTCTCCCTGTTCCCTTTTCTCCAGAGCCTGGATTCCTTCTCCTACTTAATCTCTCTGCCTGCCAACAACACCTATCCCTCTACTGCCTAGCTATTGGCTGCTCAGCTTCTTAATAGACCAATCAGGTGCCCTGAGCCGGCAAGATAAAACAAATGCAATACATAGTTAAACAAATGCAGCACAAACAAATGTAACACACCTTTAGATACTTAAAGTAATATTCTGCAACATAAAAAACTAATGCATCTTTACATAGTTTAAAAATGCAGCACAAAGAAATGTAACACACCTTTATAGTGTTAAAGTAATATTCCACAACAGACAGGAAGTATGTTCTGCGCTGAGTGGTGTACCGCCATAAGACGGGAAGCATGCTCTGGGCTTGTAAGTTTTTGGCCCTGCACCTCTGATTCCATTTCACACAGCTATGGAAGGAATGTTAAACTTGAACAAGGCATTGAACTCTTGATGACTTTTTAACCCTCTGGAAATAAAACTAGCCCCCACCTCCACCCCCTTCAAAAAAAAAAAAAAACAGAAAGGAAGGAGGGAGGGCAAGACAGGAATATAATGAGGGGATAAACGGGAAAGAAGGAACAAAGGACCTACTGTGATCACCCTTTCCCCAAAACAGCCCCAACAGTCCTTGCTGCTCCAATTAGGATCCTCAAATTCCTGCTCACTCCTATGCATTGCAATAAAAATACCATGTGTTTCTGTGCACAGTGCCTCTGTGAGACCCTATGTTACAGATGTGGCCTCTGGAAGGCTAATTATTACACAATAATAATTGTGAATGAACACCATAGCAAAAGTTACATTCATCATTATTAGCTTTTCTACCCTCAAGGAAGTTCTTTAAAGTTATTTTTCTGACCTTTGAAAGCCAGATATGTTAAATGCAGAAACAAAGGAAGGCTTAGAAAGCACTCATTTGAACCATAATGGAATTGTCATGTTTGAAGAACAAAACAGTAGACAGAATACGAACAGATTTGTATAGACAAACAAGCGTACTGGTGACCCCATCAGCAAGGAACAGTCACTGTTAACCTAGTGGCTGCATTTCCTTTCAGTATTTTTTAGTACAACCATATTTTAACAAACTGCAAGGCATGTACCTGTGCAGGTTTCGTGTGTTGTTCTTTTCAAGTTTTTGACTTTTTTTGTTTTGTTTGTATGTGTGTTCCTGCTTGTCTGTATGTACCCTATATACATTCAGGTCCCTCGGAGGCCAGAACTGGGTGTATTAACTAGAGCTGGAGTTACAGGCACTTGTGAGCCATCCAGTGTGGGAGCTAGGAACCAAACTCAGATCCTCTGCAAGAGCAGCGAGTGCACTTTACCCTGAGCTTCTCTCCATCCCTTCTTTTCAGATTGTTTTAAGACAGGCTCTCACTCTGTAACCCAGGCTGATTCAACCCCATATCAATTCTCTTGCCTCCATCTCCTGAGTGACGAGATTACAGGCATTGGTCACCACATCTGGCTTAAATTATAGTTTCTATGCTAATGGTGTTCATTTGCTATAAAGGTTTTCTTCTACATCATCCAATGTGTGACTTAAAGTTACTGTGATGACTATTTGTCAATATTGTATCCAAGTAGATGTATTTATTCACTATTGCTTGGAACTGGTAGGTGGTTTTCAAATTATTTCATCATAAATAACTTTGTTTTTATAATAAAAGTAAAATAAGAGGGCAACATAGAACTAGTTTGTATTGTATTTGAGACACCATTACATCAGCATCTATCTGATGAAAGTGAGTTCTCAAGGTGCCCATTAGATGTTTTGTAGTTTGTCTCACATCTGCTCACATCTGCCAAAAAAGCCATAACATGGATAAGGCAGGATTTTGAAGTGAGGGATTTTTGTGTCTGGGAAAACAGGACTTATTAAAGTGTAGTAAAGAAACATGATCAAATCTTTCTTTAAGATGAATGCCAGATTACATACAGCTCCATGCATTCCATTTGAAAAAAATGGCAGGTGTCATAATCATCATCTGAAAATGGAATTGTAGATATACCAAAATATTATTTTCCAGAAATCTTGAAATCTAAAATGCATATATTCTCCCAAAACTATGATACTCTGAATAAAGGTTCTTGTTACATATCATCACATTGTTTAGCTGTGTTGCCACTGATGACATTAATGAATTAGAAAATAATCTGCCAATGAACTACCTCCCAAATTGAGCTGTATGGTTTATTATATTTTTAAATATTTGGAAGTTTTCACATATATGTGTACACACACACACACACAATGAGAGCATGAAAGAGCTCCTCATTCAATCATCATGAACCATTTTTATATATTTATTAATCATTGCTATTTATTTTAAAGACCATATTTTTACTCTTTCCCATTTTTGTTACTGTTATTCATTTGTAAGAACCCTATGTTATGTATAGAAACCTATTTTATATAGTGTAAATATTTCTTGAAGTTCTTAATTTGTCTTTCAATTTGACTCAGGAAACAAGTCTAATATAATGTTATATTTCTGGCTATAAATTTAATAACTATTCATCTTTAAATGCATATAAATTGAAAAATATAAAGAGAAGGGGAATCAATCACAATTCTACTTTACATATGACTTACTCTCTATTACCACAGAGATCACACTTTACTTTACATCCTATTTTTTATGCAATAAAATATAACATTTTTGCATACCAGTAAATATACTGGTTGACAGTTGCATAGCATGAATGCAGCAGTAATAATCTCCTACTCATGGATTCTTTTCCTCCCTAAGATGTTTTGTTATTATAAGCAGTGAGATAAGCATCTTTACATCACATATCTTCCTAGGGTATAGCCTTGCTAACATGTTAATATAAATTTGTAGATGAGTTTTAATACCTCACTTCCACCATCAAAACAATTTTTACACTAATTTCTCAGTTACTCCCTAGACACCCTGCACCAATTTATAACTTGTAAATCAGAGATGAACATATGCCATGATCCAGCCATTTCACTCCCGGTTATGTACCCAAGATAATCTTCTGTACCCATATAACTGGAAATATAGAAGCATGTTTATTGAGCATTTTTATAGTAGTTAAAAATTAGAAACAACTGGATTGACCATCAAAAATAGATAGATAATTAGAGTATATTATTATAATGGCATAAAATATAATAATAAAATTATTACTAGAGCCTACATGTCAACACATATGAAGCTCAAACATAATTTCAAGCCAAAAAGATAAGACCTGAGACAGACACAGTGGCATACTATTGAAATTCCAGTATTTGGGAGGTGGAGACAGGAGTACCGTAAGTTCAAGGTCAGCTTCACTACATAGTAAGTTAAGGCCTTGCCTGGACTATATAACTCTGTCTCAAAACAACAACAGAGGCAACATGCTCTAGTCAATGACCCTACACCCACATACAAACTGGCAGCACCAACTGGATTCAAGTTAACAAAAAAAGGTGGCATGAAATTGAGAAGAAGGTAGATCAGGGTGAAGGGACCTGGGAAGAGCTGAAGGGGACGGGCTAGGGGAAGATTTGCTTAAAACACACTGTACACATGCATGAAATTCTCAAAGAATAAAAATACAGCTAAAAAATAAATAGTACAAAGCCTACCACAAGAGGGGGTAGAGTCAAGTTGTATATACTATATATATATTACATACTCTATATTATATTACAATATATATTGTAATATATTCCATATCTAACATTAAAGTGTATATATATATATATATATATATACACACACACACACACACACACACACACACACACCATATAACAGAGTGTGAAAGTGGCTAAAATTAAAGCATTTTATTAACCACGTATGGTGGCAAAATGAAGAGCATGGGGGTGGCTGCAGCACACTTGCTGGAGAAAGAAGGCATGGTAGCGGCCGTGGGACCTAGGACACTGGCAATGCTCTTTGACTGGGTGGCTGTCTTGACACATTAAGTGGTACAGTCATTCTCTATGCACCCTGCTTCAACACATCCCATTACTAAAGGTAAACTTTCAACAGTTATAGATCAGCCCTTCCTTCTGCTTGATTCAACATGAGGGACAGAGCTCTAACCTGCTCTGCTCTGTGAAATGTCCCATTTCTCCTGTGCCACCTGTACACTCATGTGTCTCTTGGTGTCTTAATGACCCGGTTTTGCCTTTAACTTCTACTGTCTCTTTCTGGCCTGTCTATTTTGTGCTGTTACTCATCCCATCCCACAGTACCATCACCATTCCTGTCTTCCAAATTATAACCAGTAGGCTGGAAAGATGACTCATTGGTTAACAGCACTTGCTGTTCTTCCAGAGGACAGGAGTTCAGTTCCCAGCACCCACATCCAGCAGCTTACAACAGCTCCAGGGAATCCAATGCCCTCTTCTAGACCCTGGGGGTACTGTCATACATGTGGTAATGACACACAGACATAGACACATGGACACACATGCACATAGAAAGAGACAGGCATAAATATTTTTGAACATTAAAGCTGTTGCTACCATCTTTTCTGTCTCCATGAGCATCTTAATGTTTGAGCTACTGTAAACCCTCCAAAGGCACAACCCAACCTCCTGTGATTTCCCAAGTCTTTTTATGTCCTATTTAAAGCACACTTTTCTTTTACTCTTTCATATGGGCAACCATGGCAACCATGGGGATGTGTAATGAACACAACTTCATTCACCTAAGGTTTTAGTCTCTCTGCAGCCCTGACACACCCCTGTCCAAGGACAGAAGACTCGCTCGCTCTCAGGCTGTGAAGGACAGGGTACTGTGTCATAAACAAATTAAAAGCTAAAATGGCAAGCCGCACGATGGGGAGAGAATCAGTCATCCTGAGTGGGATTTGCTTTGTGAGTGTGTTTCTCTTTTGTTCTTGTGGATGCAGACAGGATATTGAACAGCAGCTGGGATCCCTGATCTTGGCCACAGACATCAACAGACAAAATGAGTTTCTCACCCGCCTAAAAGCTCACCTCCACAATAAAGACTTGAGACTGGAGGATGTGCAGGACAGACACTTTATGCTTCAGGTAAGCAACAAGAGCCATCAGCCTTGCCAAGTGACAACACTTACGAATGCAATCGATGATTTTAGCATGTTTGAGGAGACACTATAACGCATGGTAAAGCTAGAGTAGTGACCTACTTTATGAAAAGCTTGGAAAGATATGCAGCTGGTTAGTGCTTTCCAAACAAGCAACATCAAGGTTTCAGAAGGTGGGAAGTCTTATTTTTCCTTGTTTGCTAGCTGCCGCATCACTAAGTAACTTCGACAGATGTTTCGTATAAACCTGTGTCTTCGTTAATTTTCTATTACTGAAAGGAGATACCAATGACCAAGTACGTTTATGGAAGGAAACACTCCATTGGAGGTCAGATGCCCATTTCAGAGGATGATTCCATGACAGTTTCGGCAGAGCGCCTCGCAGCATACACAAGGGTGGTGCTGGAGCAGTAGCTGAGAGCTTACATGTTGAGAAAACAGGAGCAAGGCAAAGAGAGAGAACGAGAGCTAAATGGGGATGGCCTGGACTTTGGAAACCCCAAAGCCCATCCCTAGTGACACACCTCCTCCAACAAGGCCATACCTCCTAATCCTTCCCGTGCAATTCCACCACTGGAAACCCAGCATTCACTTATATGAGCCCATGGGGGCCATGGTCATTCAAACCACTGCACCCTTGTCCAGATGTGGACCCTGAGTTTACCTAGACAGACCAACTTTACCCAGAGACTGAACCACAGTCATTTGTTCCACGCCTTCACATTGTATCTACCCATCCACACCAGGAAGCACCCCACGTCTTCTAAACCAGTATTCTATTACCTAAGTGCTTAAAGGTTAGCACCTAAATTCTCAAAGATGAGCCGATTGTTGACTTAAGTAACTCAGACCAACTTGTAACTGAAATATTTGACCCTGTATTGCAAAAGACCGCTAACTCAAAGGAATTTTTAAAATCCTTAAAAGGACCTCTGTGCCTTACCTTCGCCAACACAGGTGCTGGTGCCCCCGCTAACCAAAGGAAACGACTGGATTTATACCTTAGTGTCACCCAAGGCTCTCCTAGACCGCACACTTATGTCCACTCTGATAAAAGGAACCCTGTCACAGCATTGAATGTTGTTAATGGGCAGGTCTCCTGACAGCTAGTTGTCAGTTGTTACCAGTTGTTAGTCAGGAGAACCTACTTGTCTGGGAATTCAAGGTAACTCTCCTAGGATCATCAAAACCTGACAGAAACCTCAGATCCAGAGCCATGTATGGCAACCCAAGAAGCCCTGACTTAGCCAGGCAAATGTAAGACTCCTGGGTTTAATATGACTTAGTACCTTGGCCGGCAATCTGAGCTTACTACAGTAACACAGACATGGAAATGAAAACACAATTTAAGAGATGTATGGAGAGTGTCAACGGAAGAGTGACTTCCAAATGATCCTTCTTGAGTCTGGCCAGATCCCTGCAGGGACCTGCCTCAGAGAGGTGGAGCAACAGACGGAACCACATCAGGGCTTTCATTGGCCTGCTCACCGGAAGTCTTCTCCAGGAAGCTCTGTGTCCTTAATAGGTGGCTCATCTCCCCTTGCTGCTATAAAGTGAGAGCTCTGAATGAAGGGTTGTGTGCCATCGTGAATAACAGTTGTTTCCTGAGGAGGCTTGTCAGGGAGGCTCTCAGTAAATACGGGCTTGGTACTGTGAGACAGACAGGCAGACGTTGCAGCCCCTCTGGCTTGGGGTGCATTTGCAACTGAAAAGACACCCTCTTATTTTCTCTCTGTCCTGTCTATTCTCAGATCGCCTTGAAGTGTGCTGACATTTGCAATCCTTGTCGAATCTGGGAGATGAGCAAGCAGTGGAGTGAAAGGGTCTGTGAAGAATTCTACCGGCAAGGTTAGTAGATCCCACAGCCGAGGGTTTCTTTCCCCTTCTCCTTTTGGGCAATTATCCTAATAAAACAGGGATGGCTAATCTGCCATGACGTTTGTTCTTTCATTAACTCCGATTATCCTTAACCTTTTCCTTTAACTATCTTTTTTTTTTTAAGTTTAATACTTTAACTATCTTGTGAACCATCCAACCCTTTCATGGGAAAGAAAAATTTAAATAAATATCTCTGATGTACTATGGAAACAGGTAATAACAAGACATGATACAATGAATGAAAGCAAGATACACACACGGCAAAATACATATATGCAGATATGAATGTGTATGTGTGTATATGTGTGTATGTATGATGATGTTTGATTTTTGCCCTGACCTTCCTTTTAATGTACTGAGCACAGCCTAAAGGTTGAGCACTGTTTGGAGGTCAGTGTCTTCCATTCTGAGAGAAGGATTTAGAACCTTCTGTGTACCTTTTTCTCAGGTTCTTAAACTTTTCAATAAAATGGGTCAAAGTTAGCCAAGAATTGACTTAAACCATTTGAATATAGCTTTAGCAATAATAAATGTGGATTCTTCTGTGAAAAGACAAATGGCCCTAAGGTAGGGCATAATTTGTCAAAGATTGCTTGCCTTCAGGAGGCAGGCTGTAAATTAGCAAGTAGGACCTTGACCCCGGGTGGGATGTAGGCCTTCAAACAAGCCTTGTTTCTTCAGGCAGGGTTTCAACATTCGGGATGTTTGTTCAGGCATCGGCAGTGCCCTTGTGCTAGTGACAGGATCAGGGTTAAGAGGCTGAGAACAAATACAGCTTAAAGTGTCCCACAAACCAGCTCTGTGGGAAGGTCAAACAGCAGCAGTGACATTTTGGAAAAATGTCCACTGAAAGACGTGTCAATAATATGGTGATGGTTCCAAAGACAGAAGACAAAGGATGGTTGAGTTCACATGGGGCTAGAAGGCTCTGCTCACTGTCACACTCTAAGAATTAAAGTGCTCTTGTAACTCCTATGACTCTGGAATTTCACATGCATTCAGCATGAGTCATTAGCTGTTAAAAACTCAGTTGTAGTTGACCAAGACAGAAAGTCTCCACTGAGGTCAAAACAAAAGGAAACATGATGAAGTTGGAGAGCAGAGAGCTTTTAGAGTGAGTAGGGTGGATGCTTATGCCACTGTATGATATATAAACCATTCAAACAGCAGTGGGAGAGAAGGCTAGGACTACAGTGTTGAACATCAAAGTTCTTCTCCATCCACTTGCTTTTAATTCATTCGTGTGCTATGGTGGTGTCAACTGAGGTGTAAACTTTCAATTTGCTCATAGACTCTAAGCAACTTGGGGCAAGGGTCATATCACTTGGGCAGACATGGACTTCTGAATCACAGCTGTTAACTAAGAGAAACTAACCACACCAAGCAATAAGATGACCTATAATGTTTCTTGGCAAAATTGGCCCTAGTAAGATATATGCATGCAGCACAATAGTATGGAAAGACCTAGAATATTTGCCACTGTAGTCACCCCAGAGGACCTTTCACACACACATTACATATCTCCTGGCAGACAAAGGAACTCCTTTCCAGCTAATAGCTTTGCCATCTGGTAGAAGTCTAGACTCTGCTCATCCAAATTATCTTTCTTCCATATCGAATTTTTTTTTTTTAACTTTAGAGGAATGACTTCCATCATCTTGATTGATCCTCTTTTAGATTTTAGTTAGGGATTTGAACACATGCCAACTCATCTCACCCTGACCCTATCGGTCAGGCTTCTACCGATAGTTCTAGATAACTGTCTTTTGCTGTTGTTATCACCATTGTTTTTGTTGCTGTTGTTGTGAGAAGGGGTCATGATATGCAACAGAGGCTGATTTCAAAATGGCAGTCCTCTTGCCTCAGGTTCTCAAATGTGGGGGTTGTGAGCATGGGCCACTAAGCCAAGCTAGGACAAATGCATTATGTTAAACAAAGAAAAATCCTTTAAATTCGTGTTTCAGACACAGAGGAGAGAGAAAAATGGTAGTCTGTGAATTAGGAAAATGTCAAATCCTCAGAACAGAGAGCAGGGTCTGCCTACACTCTGGCCCTCAACACTTTAAGAAAGAATTTCTCTACAATTGTGAATATGGATTGAGATCTCCACAATTAGCCCAGTTTTTTTTTCAAAAAGTTTTTATTGAGCATCCACCTCTAGCTTTGTGTAATCCTCAGTAAAAATTATTTTTATGTAAATAATTCCACACAGGGGATGTTACAAACACCACAAAGGAATATAGCTGGCTTATACTGTCGCCTCCCAAATGCTAACCAGTAACATTCCAGAGAAGAGAGACTTTGCTTTTCCTTTTTCTACTTTCTGCATGGATTAGTAGAATCCACGTAGAATACAAGTGTTTCATGCTTGTCTGTTGAGAAAGAGAAAGAATAAACCCATTTCACAGGAAGACATGTAACAGTAGAGACCCGTCATGGAAGGTTCACTGCTGCCGATGGTGGGGACTGAGCTGGGTTTTGAAGGACATGTGCTCTAGTTTCCAATATGACATCTCTGGTTTATGTGGCTAGCTAAATTTTAATAAATTATCATGTAAAAAGAAATTAAAAGTTTAGTTCCTAGCATGTTGGACACATTTAAGGAGTTTCCAGAACAGAGTATACAGAAAGCATTTCCATCAGTGAACATGGTGAAGGCACCTGCCACCAAGCCTGACAATGGTTCCATCCCCAGACTTGACGTGGTGAAAGGGGACTCCTCCCAATGGTTGCGTCCTACCTCCTCCACTCATGCATCATACAGAGAGAGACAGAGTACGCCTTCCCAAATGAGCCACTGTTAGTGACCTTGACGCCCTGCTGTTTTACTCTCTCTGGACAAGCTCTAAGAACCAATGGTCCTAAAGAGTCCATGGTGATTCCAGGGGAAGAAACTAACCCCCAGAATAATTTCCTCCAACAAGGCCATTAAAGATGTTGATGAACATTCTATGAACTCTGAATTTCAGTGTGTTTCTTCTTTCTCCTTAGGTGATCTTGAACAGAAATTTGAACTGGAAATCAGTCCTCTTTGTAATCAACAGAAAGATTCAATCCCTAGCATACAAATTGGTGAGTTTAAGTCTGTGTTTATTTAAAATGAATAGCTTGGCATATCTACAAGAGTCTGAAGATGACGATGATGATGATGATGACATGACTACGACAAAACCACCTTCCAGAGATCTAGTGGCTGGGCCAAGCAAAGGTTTTAATCATGACTGATCTTTTAGATAATTATCAATTGAGGAATTAAAACAATTAAGGTATGGGTTTGTTACAGACTCTTAACTGCCTTAATACTAAGTTACAGAATTAACCTTGTGATTTAGGATAGAATAAGAACCAAGAGTAGCCCTGAAGTACACACCTATAAGCCAAGCACTTGGGATGATGAGCCATTAAGATCACAAATTCAAATCCAGTATAGATTAATAGCAAATTCAAAGCCAGACTGAGCTGCATAGCAAAACCCAGTCTAGAAAGCTTAGATGGTACCCCAGACAGATAGCGCTTGCATTCAGTGAGCAAGGCTCTGGATCCATCCTGAGCAGTACAAAAAGAGCAGACTCGGTTGCCATACAAACTCCAGATTCCCTAAGAGACTGTCTCAAAAGCTACAGATGAGTGGGTGGGAAGATGGCTCAGTCAGTTATGTGCCTGCTTCAGGGGTACACAAGCATGAATACCTAACTTCAGATCCCCAGAACCTACATAAGAATCAGGCACAGAATCCAGTAATGGGGAGTGTCAAAGACAAAACAATCCCTGAAGCTCATTGGCCAGCCATCCTACTTGAATTAATAAGCTGCAGGTTGGGTAGAAGACCTTGTCTCAAAATATGGTGGAGGGATAAATGGCTCAGGAGTGAAGAGCATGTGACTGCTCTTGCAAAGGACCCAAGTTTGGTTCTTAGTACCCATGTCCAGTGGCTCCCAATTATATCTGTGGGCACATGCACTCATGTGCCAGTACCCAAACACAGACACAAATGCATACATGTAAATTAAAATAAAATATATATTTTAAATTTTTTAAAGAATAACTTAAAAAATAAAGGTGGAGGGCAATTTTCAAAAAACATCCAATGTACCTCTGGCTTCCACATGCACACACGCACACACATGTGCATATATGTACAAACATGCACACAAATACACATGCACATATGCTCACATATACATGCACACATGTGTACACATGCACACATTTTGTACGCATGCACACACATGCAAACATGCATGCAAAACACATGTACACATGCATATATGAATGCACACACGTACACACATGCACCCATACAAATGAAATACATGCACATATGCACATACATGCAAAACACATGTACACACACATGCACATGCATCAACACACACATGTACACACACCAAAGATATATAATAGTAATGAAGGAAAGAGCAGCTGACAAAGACATCCATCAATTGACTTCTGGCTTCCAATTGCATGCAGATATACATATGTACACATACATGAATATATGCAACCACATGCACATTAAAACATGCCACATATTCCCAGTCTCTTCGGGGTATCCTTCCCATGTAAGTTAAGTTTCTTAGCATCCTTTCAAGGTGGGTTCTTCCCCTTATTCATAGTTACATCCAAGGCCTAAGATCCTGGAGCCCTGCTGCCCCCTTGTGGTCAGCTGTCAGCATTTCTCCTCTCTGTACTTTAAAACCTATTTCAGTCCACACTGCCTTTCAATTGTGGTGAACTGTTCAAGTATGTTTTCAGTGCATCCAGAATTGTTATTACTTTATCTAATCATATTATATATAAGGTCTTCATGCACATCAAGTGGCAAAATTTTACTTCCTCACTTTAGTGAAGGAAATTTTTTTTACTCTACGTCTTAAACCACCAATCCCATCTCTATGTAAAGTTAGCCTTTCTTTTCCTGGAAGTGCTTCCATTGAAGCCAAACAAAACTTAACAAACTCCATGCTCAGCATTTATCTGCTCACAACTTCGCAGCTGTCCCCACAGACTCCACACAGGCCATTGCATCCATAGGGTTGCAAGTCTCAGAGCTCAGTGCCTTGGCATTGGGAAGGAGAGGGACATCTGCAAAGATCAGCTGAAAATGAGAGCATGTTAGAATGTCCTGATGACAACCAGAGAGAGGGAGGGAGGAAGAGAGAGAGGGGGGAGGGAGGGAGGGAGAGAGAGAGAGAGGGAGAGGGAGAGCAAGAATCCAGAGCAAGGGGCAACTCAGAAACCAATAGCCAAGATGCAGCCACAGCTTCCTTGAGCCCAGCCCTGCTTTATGCTTTCGTTATGAGGTTTTTATAGATATGCTTCCTAATTCTATATTAAACCCTGGATGGAAAGACTCTTGCCAGGTTACTGTTTATAACACTGTAAGTCACACATTCCCCAAATAAAAAGCTTTACACTGTTTTAAGCATACAGATCTGGAAGACAGGGCTGATTTCAGAGCTCTGTCCTGTTGTTGTCCTGAGAACACATGTATTTTGTCTCATCATATGCCCTGGTTTTCCACCTAGTAATATGTGGTTGCCATAGATACTGCCTCGGAAATGGAATGGGTATTAAGTGAAGGGGGAACTCCTATGGCTACTACATGTGAAAAACAATAATAAAGAGAAAGGGAAGATGATTACACAGCAACACTCGGTTCATAAATCTTTCCCTGCTACACATCTGCCAGCTCTTACAGGCCCAGGTCGGGAAGTGTGACAAGCCAAGCCAGACTAGATTGGAAAAACAGATAAAAGAGCTAGCAAACGCTGCAAGCTCTAGTCCACACCCACACCCCCTTTCTCCACTGGATCCTATACAGGGTAGCTATTTCCTCTCTTCAGAATCCACCAGACTTAAGTGTCTCTTCTCATCTTCTTGTACATGGCTATTGTGTTAACCAAGAGAGAAGAAGCCTATTATAACCTTTTATTTTGTAAAAAAATTCCATACAGGTATGCAGTGAAATGTGATCATAGCTGCCTCTTATCTACCCCTCCATCACACACAAACCAACTTCATATCTTTTATTATTTTATGGCCCAAGTCCAATTAGTGGTGCCCATATGTGCATGGCTGTGGAACCATTCACTGGAGCATGGGAAACCTACTAGTGGTTATATCCTCAATAAAAAATCATTCTCCCTGTCCCAGCAACTATCCACTGCCAAAAGCAACTCAGTATGAGTAGGGCCTAAACATCATTGACCTATCTCTGCACGAATTTTACCCGGCTTGACAAGGTGTAGGTATCCACAGCTTCTGAGTCCATGATTTGTGGTAGCCATGTCATGTCCAGAAGACAGCATCTCACAACACCTCCCCACATCCTGATTCTTACATTCCTTTTGTGTGCTATCCTACAATGCTCCCTGAACCTTTTGGGATGAGAGAGTGAGCTAATATAGGTGTCTGTCTCATTTAATGTTGAGAACTCGGCCTCTTGTTCTTGGCGCCTCGACTATGCCTCTCTCCACTTAACTGCTGTCCACTGCGGAAGGAATTTCTATCACCAAGGTCTAGAGCAGCCCAGACCTACCAGTATAAACGCAAATATTTAGAAGACAATTGACAGTATGAACATTAGCAAAACAATAAGTTCTACCCTGGGGCCCATGACTTTTGATTAGGATTGCAAGACCAGATGAGAAATTCTTTCCTGTGGAACAGGCCTCAAATCCAATCAGAAAGCAGTTAGTTAACTCATAACATGTATGCCACTGGAAGGCACATCTTGTCTAGCAGGTCAATATCACAGCAAGCAGGGTCCAGCACTCGGTAAAGACATCCATCTCATTTCTTCAAAGCAGCCTGAATAATACCTTCCTGGCATACTGAAAGCTAGCCATCAAAGAGGAGGTTTCCCAGTTAGTTTGAGGTTTCTCTATATCTTACATCCAAACTCTGTGGTGTCTTTAGCAATAGAGTCTTACCATGTAGTTGTGGTGGGGAACCATGAGCAATGGGAATAACCCACAGGGTTCCAGAGACCTCCAGGCCATAGGATGGCATTCCAGGCCTTGTGTGGCAGTTTTCATTTAACACCCCATGTCTTCTGAGGGAGGCAGGGCCCACCCATGCAGGGCGATTCCGGTCAAAGCCCTCTCTCTTTTCTGAGCTGTATTTTGAAATTAGACTGCTAACAAATGGGTTTCCGTGACACTCCATTAGTTCTGCTTAAGTCATCCACTATCCCTGTCTTTGTTCCATCTCCCCCAAAAGGTGACTCGGTGGTGAAAGTGGTGTAGAGCCATCTCTACCTCTCTCTCCTATTCCAACCCCAAAAGAGATATCCCCAGTCTTGTTTGGGTTGATTTTCTGTGGATATGGTTCATATTTGCCCAAAAGGACGTAGCACCATACACACACACACACACACACACACACACACACAAACACACACACACACACAAACACACACACACACACAAACACACACACACACACACACACACACACACACACATACCTTCATTGTCCCCTCTCCTCCATTTATAAAAGATGGGAAATCAAATTAATCTCTGGTGGAATCTATAGAAAGACAAAAAGACAGAAGGTTTTCTTCAGCCTGTGCCCCGTATAAAGCCACCATCCTCCCCTCCACTCCCCTCCCCTCCCCATCCCTTCCCTTCCCTTTTCCTTCCCACCACACCAGAAGGACAAGGTTGCCCTGGAATTACCTCTGATTTGTGCTGGTCTCCTGTGAAGTGTAACTGTAGGGAGGAAGGAGTTGAAAATTTTTAATGTTGGCTCTGTAACTGTTCTACTTAGGAAGTAGCACTTTCTAAAATTCATGCTTTGAATTTTAGAAGACTATCATTTTGCATATTTTTTTAAATGTCAAATAGCTAAATTCAAGAGTAGCAAGTACCAAGGGAAAGCCTTATCGCTGGCTCTCTAGTCGCCTAATTAGGATGATGTAACCAGACCTAAAACCACTGACCTAAGAGTCTCTCATGAGTTTGGGCCATCTCAGTGAGACAGCACAAGATAATTCAGAAATGCACAATAACATTTTACATTGCTGCCTCCTTCCCCATCTCCCTAGCACTGCCACAGGCCAGACGTCTTCTGTTTGTCCGATAAAAGCATCAGACCATCTTATAGTTCCTGTGCTTACAAACATGAAGGGTTGGTTACTAGAAAAAATTACTACACACACTCACAAAAAAAACATTGCTCCTTTCCTCATGCTCCCATTTCAAGGAAGTACAATGAAACCTAAATGAATCCAAGTTTATGATAATTCCAAATATTCCCCACCATACAGGAAGTTATCTTTGTTTGAGAGATCATGTTTAGTGTGGAAAATACATTAACAATGAGACAGGATTAGACCACAATGAGTGTTTGATTAAAAGAACAGATTCTTAATCTGGACGTGAGTGTAGAATCCCATATCCTCAGCACTCTGGGGGTTGAGACAGGAGGGTCAAGATGAGTTCAAGACCAGCCAAGGTTGCATAATGAAACCCTGTCAGGAAGGGGGTTTGGAGAAACTAGAAAGCCTAACTTCAAACGGCCGTCTGCAGTCACTAAAGCAGAGCTTTTTGCAGATAAAAATCTCTATCAACGAGGCTGGGCATGTGCCAAGTTCTGGGTTCAATCCTAGCTAGCACTGGTTTTTAACAATCTGTGTTGTCAATGCATGTTTAGAGCTGGGCATGCTAGCATATTCCTATAATCTCAGCATCCAAGAGGTGCAGGCAAGAGGCCAGCCTAGGCTACATAGACATCCTGATGTCATTGAAAGTAAGGCAATACTGGAAAAATAATAATCTCCAAAACAGTATCCCTCCAGGTAACCAGAATGATTTTCGATCTAAATCCCTCATGTTGCCTGCATTTGCTTTCTCTCCTCTCTGCCTGCCTTCCCTGGTTCCACGCACGTTTTATCTTTTTTTGCTTCTCTCTCTGTGTGTCTCTGTCTCCCTCTCCCCCTCCCTCTCTCTCTGCAAGTCGGGGTTTTAACCACTTAACTTGTATTAAGCCATTTACCACAAGAATGCTGCAGGCTTGATTCGTATACAGCTTCTTTTCCCAAATGTGGGAGCCTAAAGTACTAAGAATTTAAGGGGGGGGGCACCAAACTAAGGATAGTGACCCTATCCTGTTTGCCCACCTATCCCTGGCAGAGTGCACTGTGGGTCTCAGTGGTGTTCTTGAGGGCCCGATCCCCTTGTGATAACCTCGCTTGTGTGACCTTGCATGTTGCAGGTTTCATGACTTACATCGTCGAGCCGCTCTTCCGGGAATGGGCCCGGTTCACCGGGAACAGCACCCTATCGGAGAACATGCTAAGCCATCTCGCACACAACAAAGCCCAGTGGAAGAGCCTGCTGTCCAAACAGCACAGACGCAGGGGCAGCGGCCAGGACCCCACAGCCCCCACATCTGAGCCCCTGGAGCACACGGAAGGCGCCACGCCCTAAGACAGCCGGGTCTGCAGGAGCAAGGCCATGTGACGGCCCTCGCCACAAGCCCACCACTCTGGGCTTCGAATGCCACCCGCCTGCCATTTACCACCTCCCTTTGTTGATCCAAGTGTACAGAAGCCATTGTCACCTCAGCATTAGCTGCCGAAATGAGCGACTTCGTCCTGTCCTCGGAGCTCGGGGCAGCTGCCCCTACAGAAAAGACCAGGAGAGTAAGAAAGAGGTGCTTCTGCCTGGTCCCCCTCTGGCCGGCCCTTGGTCACACTGGCAGGGGCTCCTAAGTCCAGAGCGTTTTAGGGTTCACCGTCTGACTGCTGACTTGCATGACAACACCAGCATACCTGGAACTTCAAGACTGGTCTTAAGTGCCAGAGCACAAATGAGAGAGAGGGGAAGTACCTTCTATTTTAATAATAATTATTATCATAAAATAATAATGAATCTTTTTAACTTTTATATTTCATGCACCAGACAATGGGTCTAACACTTTGGACTAAGATTACTCCGTGTACCCAAACCTGAAGAGGGGGTTCATTGTTTTGCTATTGACTCTATGCCACTTTTAGTCTGAGATTTGGCATCTTTGCGATTTACGAAACCTTGTCTCCCTCCCATCTGGTGGAAGGTGCTGTACAGTTCATTCCTTTGCACCGCTAGCCAATCTGTCTTTTATGGATTCAGTGACCTGTTTATATTCACACGTGTACATTTTCTGTAAATACCAAACGCTACTGAGTCCCATGCCAAAATACATGGAGTATTATGGGATTGCTACCTGTATAAACAATGGCACTGTGAACAGAATACTATTAGTTTTAATACAAGAGAATGCATTTGTAAATATGGTATAGAGTTTATTAATATACTGTTGTTCGCAGATAAAGGCCTTAACTTTAAATATCTTCCCTCTTCCCAGAGTTGCCCAACCTAAATCTTTACGGATGTCTTTCTGAACTGCCTGCCCCCAATGACCATCTCTCTGCTTTCCTGCTAGGGTCACAAGCCAAAACTGAGTATCGTCTCGGAGGGAACTTTTTTGGGGGGGGAGGTGACTTCTTGTGCATTCCTCTTGAGGCCATAACTTTTAGTCTATGGCACTAAGTGTGGTTTCCTCAGAATAATGACACCCTCTCAGCAGGATGGACGTCATTTGCCAGTGCAGCAATATTGTACACTGTTTTAACAAGCCAGCCGCTAAGCTTGTGTTCATGTGACTTCTGCTATGGAACACGGGGTGCATCCTCTTCGCAGGAGACACAGCACGTCTCAAAAGCCTTCTGTGTATGACCCTGTCATCTAACCATCAGGGAACTCCCTGCTCCCGAGCCACACATTTGTCTGTTATGGCTACAATACCAAAGCCCCTTTGGTCCATGATTGATTGGTGTGCATTTCTTTGGTGTTGATAGTAACTGGAGATTTTTTTTTCTATAGCTTCATGTGAACAACCACCCAACTATTTAGTTGAATTTAACATTATTTATGTAAAGAAACTATTTCAGTTTTACAAGAGACTTTATCTTCCTAGCAGGTCTTTGTGGTTCATTAGGCTGTAACCAGCAGAGTCAGCCTGGGAGTCTGTTGCCATTCCTCTAGAGACACTTGGCTGTAAGTTGCAGCATAACTAATGTTAGATGGAAACTGCCAGTGCCCCTTCCTCTTTTACTGACGTGTAGTGGGAGAGGGAACATTTTTGCCATGATCAAGCCACTTTTCAAGCTGATGGAGACAGCTAGTTCTCTAAGTGCAACTGATGTGGGTCTTTCTGGTTTCTCCTAATAATACAAGTGAAATGCTAAAAGCTTGGCTGGCCTGGAATATGGTCTTGCAGAGAGATTGGGGCTTGCAGACTTAAGGTTTTGGAGGGAATAGGAAAGTTGATTATATTTTCATTGAAGTAGGCAAGATTGTCAGAGGGGCAGAGCTAAAGAAAGTGTGAAGAACTTAGGGAATGGGTGGATGATACGTTGGTATTCCTGATGTGAGTAAGAAGGGAGGTTGTGGAAACTTAACTCTAACTGTTGTTTTCGGCAGCAGCTAAGAACTGACTTACGTTTCTTAGTTGCTATGATAGGCTGAAGCTCTGAGTGACGTATGTTTCTTAGTTGCTATGGTTTCTGAAGCTCAGAGCTTAAGCAAAATGGATGGATACAGCAGATGAATTCCTGCTTCAAACCCTCCTTTTGGGGGCCGTAATAGTCTGGCTTTATGCATATGAGATCAAATCAAGGGAATCAATTGCTCAGGATAACAAAATAGAAGTAGTACAGAAAACATTGTTTTTATCCAATGAAATCTTTACCTGGAGTTGAGGAACTAGAGTTTGCTTAAGTTATAATTATATTGTGATTTAATTAGGATGGGGCATTCTTAGTAGCTCCAGGCTTATAGGGGAAAGATTCTCATGTTGCAATTTAATCTTAAAGAGGAGTTAACAAGCAAAACTACCAAATATCCAATGGTTAAAACACAAGTCTAATGAAAATCGGAAGTAAAGTGGGCATGATGCATAAATGATAGGCATGATGCATAAATGGCATAGGTCATCTTCTTTTTTCTGCTGTCTAGAAAGTTCTTGAGCTCCACATTTGTTAGCAAAACCTAAAATAAATAACTGTGAAAACTCTTCTTTTGGCCTGCTAATGGCTCTCAGAATAAATTAATACAAGTTTTATAATTAGTAATGGAGATATGGCTCTTGATCCATGTGTCACTATAGCTTTCAAGTCTTAATCTGCTAGCCCACCTAGCTGGTGTTTAATTCCTTTATTGCTTGGAAATGAAGAACTCAAAGACCTATGTTTTAGTAAGCCAAAGTCAAAATCTCAGAGAGAGAGAACATGAACACATCACTGCCATGCATGATAATCGGAGCCTACTTTTTTTTTTTCTTTTTTTGCAGTCATTGAAAACACAGTCAGACTTGATACATGAAACCCTGCCAACCCATAGTTCCATGTTAGGTTAAGTAAAAAGTAGCCATTTTTCCCTCTGCCCCTCATTGCTTACAACTCCCCACCAATGGCCTTGGAGCACCTCTGCAACCCTGTCTTCAGATAGTCCTTCCTTTTAAACACAATTTTGTGACCTTTTGTGTTGAATCAGATATGCTCACTGACTTCCATTTGGTTATGACTTGTATCTCACTGTATTCCTCATGCTTTGTTCTTTTAAGAGCCCATACAATTGTGTCATCTTGTGTACACATGTAAAGTTTGAAAAAAAAAAAACTTGTGATTTTTTTGCTCAAAATGTGACCTAAATATTCGTTGGCATGTCTATCCAGATGAACACTCAAAAAATAAAGATAATTTCTTTAAAATATCACAGTGTTAAAAATATCCTGATTCTCCCCCAAGTAACACATCACCAGCCTACCAAATGGGGATGTTCCTGTTAGCAAATATTCACAGCTTGTGGTTGTAAACATGATCTGTGTGACTCCTTCCCCTGGGGCTGCATAAATTTCTTTCCAGATAAGACATCACTTACTCCTCATCACCAAGTGAGGGAAACAGGCTACATATACATAGGTTCTGCATTTTGCCAGAATCCTCTATTTTTCTGGTTCACATTTCTCAGGTGCTCATGTGAACCAGGTTAAAAATCTACCGTTGTATATGTAGTCTCCATCCCCATCTTATTAAGATTGTTATTTAGAATCCCACTGATTCCTGAATGCCTCCCCACGTGAATGCAAAACTACCTTTTCAGTTGTGGACATCTACTGCATAAAGTCAAGACCAAAAGAGAGAGCAAAGAGACATCTGAAGGTCAGACGTGACCCGGGCAAGCATGGTTTGCAATCAGGATGAAGCTGTCAAGTAGATGGAACACATGAGCTCAGGAGCTACAACACCCCGCAGCTGTACAGCGAATCAAGACTGTGTCCTTCCAGCAGGCTCTGGCTCCTGTCAAAGAGTCGCCACCAGCCACTGCTTCCTTCTTTTGTGTTTGTTTCTGTGGTGCTCCTTTTGGTTTCCTTGGAGACAGGGGTCTCATTCTTTAGACCAGTCTGGTCTCAAACTCATAGAAATCCACCTGCTTTCCCTCCTGAGTGAAGGCTGGATTAAAGGCATATACCATCACATCCAGCCAGGGGGTGCTTCTTAAAGCCTGGGTGTCATACCTGTCATCAGGCAGGTGTACCAAAGTGCCCTCCTGGAGTGCAAACACTAGAGGAAAATAGGCTTCTGGGACAGAAATGAATTTCGGTCCCATCGTGGTGAATAATAATCATTCCAAAATTGTTTCCAACCCATAAGACTTGCCCTACTACTGCTGTGGCAATTAAAAGAGATTGCAGACAGGAATTCGTTACAAATTCTGTACCAACTACAGCCTGCTTTTATGGGTGGTTCCACAGATCATAGAGTAAACGGCAAGTGTATCTTGGCAGTTCTTCAAAATGTTCTGTGAAGGAAAAGGTTTCTCAAAACAAAATAATCATTGACTCCCACTGTATATACCTATGCTTCCAAAGTCCTAATTCTTGCTGGTGATGGCTCTGGTCCACTCTGTCAGGCCCTGAAAGTCTGGGAAGCTTTTCTATGAGAAGCCATGGAAACATCCATGGCTCTGCACCTCCTAAGAGGCACGAGGTTCACACCACTCACGCTTATTGATGCATATTCTCAGCTATTGCCTCTTATCTTCCCTTCAGCAATACACAAACACCTCTTAGCATCTCATCAGAGAGAAGATTCCTGCTTCCAGGGGAATGCCACGAAGTCAACTATTTGAGTAATGACTAAATAAGGAGCTCTTGGCCACAAAGCTGTCTACAGTAGGTTTTTTGTTTTTTTTTTTTTTTTTTTTTTTTTTTTTTTTCCAGTTAAGCCAGAGAGATAGTTAGGGGGTGGAAATAAGTTTAAGCTGGATTGAAAATTATCATCTTCATTATCAAAGCAAATGATGTGTCACTGATTCAATTACCTTTAGTGCTTCTAAGTCTGGTATTGTGGGTGCTGATTTAATCTTCAGGATTTCTCCCTTTTAGGGAAGTAATGCAGTAGAGTATTACGTGTGGGATTTAAAACCAGACAGACTAGAACTCAGATATTTCATTATCACTTGCTATTTAAATCTATGCAGATAACTTAATCTCTCAGCTCGGTCTCTTCATGTACAAACTGATGCTAACACCTACCTTCTGGGGTGGTTGTAAGGTCAAAATTAAATGCTATCCATAGACATAAAGCTTGGTTTCCAACAGAAAGGGACTCGATAATGAAGTTTGGGTCTGGAATGGCCCTAAAGTCTCAGTCCTCAGGAAATACTGGAGTGCAGTAGGAACTTTAAGGGGTAGAAACTCCTACAAAGTGAGTTCCAGGATAGCCAGGGCTGCTATACAGAGAACCCTATCTTGAAAAAACAAAAAGAGGTAGGAACTCAGGAAAGGATGTTGGGTTTTGCCACTGAAGGGTAGAGTGGTTCCCATCCTCGCTTTTATTTCCTGGATGCCATGTGGTCAGCAGCTCCCTCTGTCATACCCTTCCACCACGACGGTCTCACTGTCTCACCATGATCCCAAAGCCACAGGCTGACCAAACACTGAACCCTCTACAACCATAAGCAAAGTTGATTTTCTCCATAAATCGATTTCCTGATTTTTGTCATAATGACAGAAAGCTGACAAACGTAGAGATGTTTAACAAATGTAAATCCCTATATTATTCAAGGGGGAAGCTATAAAGTAAAGGCTAAGGTACATCTTTCTGTATGTTATATCAATTATTGTGCAACTGAAAACGCCGAGTAGCCAAGCTGATCATAAAATAATCTTTATATTAAGGACAAATCACTATCAAAGATGATGAAAGGTACCAAGAGTGCACTCATCAGACCAGGGACAAAACAGGGCTTTCTCTTCTGCTTTTAGTGTACTTCTCCTCAGACCAGCCACAGATAACTAGTCTGCCTGGCTAAACTGGCACTTTCTTAGAATTGACAAGAATTCAGTGGTAGCTACAAAGAAAGCTTGGTTAAATAAATAAAACTCAGTACACTGCCAAGTGTTCAGGAATTCCACTCAAATTCTACAAACCCCACGAACCATCTATGGCAGTTTCTAGTGGCCACAACTTCATCAGATTCTCTGTGACTATTAAAGCCATCAGGGGCTTCAGGGGAGCCTAAAGGTAGCTGGAAAATAGATTATGTTCCTAAACCAGCATTTCCCAAATTGCAGAGCAGTGCATGTGCCCAGGGATTTGCAAAAATGTTGCCCCAGAAAAAGAATGACTTCCCATCAAGGAGCTTGGGAGAGAGAATGCATCCAGTGAACACTCTTCTCCCTGCCTACTTTTCAGGGCTTCCCCAAGCTGTGAACCTCCTGAGACAGAACTAAAGATCAAGCCTGAGGATCTAGTTTGGGATTGAAATTAGGAAGCCTCTCTTAACTGCCCCCACCTACCACGATCACCCCATTTGTCATTTTACTTTCTCATGAGCAAGGCACTCACTACATAGCCTTAAATTTTTGATCCTCCAGCCTCAACCTCTAAAGTCCTCTATCATCACTGTGCCCACCAACTTAGTGGCTTAGTGGCTCGTTTTAGTGTGTGTGTGTGTTTCGTTGCTGTTAGTGTTGTTCTATTTTGCTTTCTGTTGTGTAATAAAACACCCTAATCAACAGAAACTTCAGGATGAAAGGGGTTATTTGGCTTATATTTCCAGGTCACACATAGTCCACCATTAACGAATGCCATTGAAGGAACCCAAACAGGAGCCTGGAACAGAAACCTCAGAAGAATGGTGCCTGCTGGCTCACTTGCTCTCAGACCTATGCCTAGCTAGCTTTCTCATACAAGCCAAGACCTGTGTGAGATGCTGCATGCATAGCGATGGTGTCACCCGCATGTGCTGACCCCGCCTGCTTCAAATGATGACTAGACAATGCCCCACGAACATGCCCATATGCCAGTCTGAGCCAGGAAGGTTTTCAATTGAGGGCCCCTCTTCTGAGGCGACTCTAGTTGTGTCAAACTGACAGCTGACACTAACCAGCACAGATACATAAGCATGCGTTCTCCCCAGTGTGAGGTGTAATAATAAGCATGCGTTCTCCCCAGTGTGAGGTGTAATAGTTGTACTTAATGTAACTGAGCCCATGGTCAGAGTCTACCACCCACCAGGATAAGAGTTGTTTCTGAATATCCTGACTCCAGCTTCTTCCCCTGAAAATGATGGAGAAAGTGTAATCTGTGTCATAGGATGAGGAAGATACAAAGAGTTGCCTCATTTACATCATTTTTAACCATGTCTGAAATACAGAAAAATACTCAGCTCATCAAATGCTGGCAAAACAAGCTTCTCCATTCCCACCACCATTACAAATGTGTTCCGATAAGCTTTTCATAGCAGAGATGATATCCTTTTATTTTGTGTTTCCCCACTTACAAGCATAAAGGAGTGATTTTTCCCCTCTTTGAAAGACGTTCTCATTATGTAGTACTGGCTAGCCTGACACTATGCTCACTACATGACCTCCAACTCACAGAGATCTGTTTGTCTCCCTAGCGCTAGAATTAAAGGCATGTGCCACAATACCTGATCCAAATAAATACTTCTTAGAGAACGTATGATTGATAAATTGAAAACCATATCAGAATAACATTAGCATTAAATCCAAACAAATAAAAATCCAACTTCAGTAATTAAAAGCTCTTACAAAGGACCTAGGTTAGGTTCCCTGTACCCACAGGGCTCTACACAGCTACCTGTAACTTCAGTTCCAGGGGACCTGAAACCCCCTTCTGGTCTTCATGGTTCCTGTGCACACATGGTGCACATATACATACACACTTTTTAAATTGCACTAGTAAATTCCCCAATAATTGAATTCAAGTCCACGATTGTGGTCTAGTAGATATTGAATGTTTCAAGGAATATTGATTAGGGAGAGTGTGATTTATCCTTTCTTTGTCCTTGGCTGTTCTGGAACTCACTATGATACTCCTGTCTCTGCCTCCTGAGTGTTGTGATTAAAGGTGTGTGCTGTAGTGAGATAGTCCTTCTGTGGCACTGACCACGCCCATGGGGGTGGAGCCATGGGCGGAGTGACCTGTGGAAGGAAGTCAGAGAGAGAGCCGGGGAAAAGCTCTCTTGCTGGCTTGACTTGGACAGGAGAGGATCGGGTTGACTTTCCTGGTGTTCATCTGTCTAGGTTGTAAGTTATTTCTCCCTGAATAAACATCTATTCGGCCTATTTGTTTATCCTGGTCCTTATTTAACCGCGATACCACTTTTTTAGCACACTCTTCTGAGGAAAGATAGACTAGCCCCAACCCCCCAACAAGCATTAATATTTAACAATCTTTAAG